TTAAGGAATGTGCCAGCAGGCTCGGCAGGTTTTTTTTAATAGGCTTTCCACCTCCCTGCCCCCACAGGGGTTGGAGGGGACCAGCTGGGTTTAAGTGAGCAGCAATGTCCTCCCACCGCCCGCCCCGCTCTCCATCCCTCACAAACAACCAGGCAGCCCACGCCCTCACGCATTCCTGTTCCGCCAGCACCGAAAACAGGAGCCTCCACAAAGGCTTAAGATTAAAAAAAAGGGGAAAAGAAAAAAAAAGAAAAAAAAAAAGGAGGGGGAAGCATGGCAGGGAAGGTACGCCTCTCTGGTATGAGAGGCGCGGGGCTGGCTGCAGGCAGGTATTCAGCCCAGCCGGGGCTGCATTCCTTTCCGAAGGAGGCCAAGGCATTTCTGATGGGGAGATCAAGATGTTAAAAAATATATATCTGGGAAGAAGAAAAAAAATGAGATAGTAAGGAATGCCACAGGAAAGAAGTTAAATCTTCAAAGATAAATTAATTCCACATGTGGGTGAAAGCTAACTTATCCTACTACTACTACAACAACAAAGTTCCTCTAAAAACCATATAGTCTTCTACTCGGATTCAGGGGGATGTGCAGTCCAAGCAACCCTTCCTAGGTCCTTGGTGGGCGATTGGGTCAACTGTGTAAGGGATGCAGCTCTTATAACTATTTGATTTGCAGCCATCTCAGGTCTTGAGAGCACATCCGAGGACCATGAGGCTCAGGGATTCAGGATGCTCCATGAGGCTCAGCGGTGCAGGATGGTCCCCAGCACAGGACCACCACCTTGCTGGGATGTGTCTGTGTCACGCCTGGTTGCATCCAGGAGGGCTGACTTGCCAAGTTCTTCCAGCAGACGGGATTGCTGGAGAGGCTGGGGGCGGAGGCAGCAGGTCCGTATGAATACGGCACAGGGAGAGGAGGTGTGTCCAAACACGGCATTTGAAAAGATATAATTAGAGAAAGTGGCCAGAACTAACTCATCCTCCCATCAGTACTGGACTGCAACACCGATTCACCTACCAACACCTCACAGACAAAAAAAAAAAAAAAAAACAAAGTTTACATATTTTTAAAGCCAGCCCCCACTCTCCACCTCCAACACACTGCCCCACAGAAATCCCCACATCCTTTAAGAAAACCAGTGGGGGCTGGTTTGCTATGTTTAATTTTTTTTTTTTTTTTTTTTTAATTTGACCACCTTACTACAGTAATTGCACCCAGATGCATCAAGTTGCCTGCAAGGGTTTTAAATTCCAGCGGAAAGCGGTGGTCTCCTGCCGCAGATGCTGTGCACACAAACACACCCCAGCTCCAAACTCAACAGGCAAAATGTTTTCAGCTGTCAGGTAGCAGTTGCTCTGGAGCTTCAAGGAGAATGTCTGATGTTTCTCAGCCTATTCTTATCTTGATGCGATGACACACAGCATGTAACTCTCTATATGCTATGTTAGGCAATGGGCATAACAGAGGTATTATAATGCCATGAAAATTTCAGGGGCTGTTGGTTGTATACCCTGTTATAAGGGTGCAATTTCGGGGGGGGGGTGTTTATTGTCAAACTCTGCTTCTTAGAAATAAAAGCACTCTGGCAGTTCAAACCACAGATTTATACAGAGAGAGAAGAAAATCTACAAGGAGCATTTTGAGGCAAAACTGAATCTCATTAAGTATTTTCTGGGGACAAACATCACTGAGCAATCATGGGTTTAAAGACAAAAAAGGAAAAAAAAAAGACCACGCATGCACAAACCTGAAAAAAAAAGTATATTTTAACAAAACTATGTTAATCACAGTTTCCATGCTCTTAACTGTAGAACACTGCTTCGAGCATAGCTTTACAATGGCATAATTTACTTTGATAATTGAAGCCAAACTTGGTTCCAATAACTTCACACACAAGGAGCTCCACCGGCGGGTCCTTTCAAAGGCCAGGAAGCACTGGGAGCCGGCAGAAGGCCATCTGCAAGCCCCAGCCTTCTCAAAGCAAGGCCAGTCCCACTGATGTTAGAGCTTAATGGGAGGCAGATGAGTCCACCTTGGACTGAACAAAACCACGTTACACGGCGGCACTGCAAAGGAAGAAGCACTCTCTGTGTACACAAACTCGTGCGTGATAAATTTAGAAGCGCGTATAAATAATAGCTGGAATTCCTGGAGCATGGGGCCAGGTCCAGCGCAGCGTGGGGAGGCCAGTTTTAACCACACCACAACCTACAGGGGAGGGGAGTCGCTTTGAAGGACAAGAGGAAGGTTCTACATTTAAAATATTCCCCGTATTAGGGCTCCAAATATACAACCAGCAGTTTGCATGCATACGCCTGTTCTGCAGCCAGGCACAAACACCGTGTTTTCACTTGACTTCTCCTGTTCCTGTCCATCGCTGATGCTGGGGCCAAACAAACAAAGTCTTTCAACTTGTACGTTTCTGTGGTCTCCCGTTTGCCATGTTTTTGGCCTTGACTCCATGCCCTGGGATTTCCAGGTGGTCTCCTGTCCAAACACCGAGCTGGCTTGAGATTGCTCTGCTCCCACCATCAGGTGTGCTCAGCCCAGCACTCCCGGCTTTCACTGGTATAATCACATTGAAACCCACCGAAGTGAATGGCAAGAGCCTGCACAGCGCTTCAAAAACCATAATGTACTGAGCAGAAATTCTTTAATTCCATCACACACACGAGGAGGGAGGTGTGGTTTGGCCACTCACCAGGAAAGACTTTGTGCAAGCTTCAGCTCCAATCCTAAATGCTGAGTGATGAGAGATAGCCCATCCATATGCTCATCAGCTTCTAGCACATGCACGCACAAGTGGCTTCACAAATGGATAGCTCAGGGAGGAACTGAGAAGCATCTCAGCTTGACCTCCCTCTCTTTGCATTGAGATCTCTTGGCCCCATGGAGAGCAAAAGCTCCTGGAAATTCAACAGAAGGTGATCAAAGCAAAATGCACTACCTAATGTCCTAGGAGGGTAGATCTGACATGTGAGGAGCAAGCTGCATTAATCCCTGGACAAAAAAGAAAAGAAAAAAAAAAAACAAAAGGAAAAAGAACCAGCACTAATCAGGCAAGCAGCCACCATTCTGCGAGAGCTCTCCTGGACAAGGCACATGTGGGTTTTTAGCAGGGCCTGCAGCTCTGGTAGAACATTACAGCCAAGCCCTTCCAGCACTGAATACCAACAAAGGCTGAGAGATAAAAGCATCAAACATCCCCCTCCTGGAAAGCAAGCGAAGGGCAGCAGTTCAAACCAAGTTCTGGAGAACAGCAGATGCTCAGACAGTAACATTCAGGCACGAGATGAGGATCCCAAAACCCAAGTCCTCCACAGACCAGCTGCCAGCGAGTGCCCCCCCGCCGCAGCCCCGCAGCGGGAGAGGTCCCGAGGCCAGGCCGGGATGAAGCACATCCCCGCTGCCGGCACCCACGCCCACCACCCCTCCATCACCCCTCCGCTGGCAGGGAGGGCCTCCAGGAGAGGGAGAGGACTGGAGAGGCCTCTGGCTCCACAGCACCCTCCCCGGCAAGAGGACCCTCCCAGCTCCCGGCAGCTCAGCACCAGGAAGCCCAGCACAGCTGGAAGCTCTCCATGGGGCAGGAGAGGAGGGCACGCTCCAGCAAAGCCTCCCCAGGAGAAGCCTGATGCCCTTTGATGTCCATGAATCACAGACACACTCTCAAAATTCCTGTAAACGAGATGTCAAACACTCACCATACCAAACCCCAGCCTCCTGGGCCAGCAGAGGAGAGCGCACATCTGCCAGCAGAGCCCTCTCCTCTCAGCCCTGATTCAACAATCCACATTTATGGCAAGGGTGGGGAGAGGAAAGAATACATTTTCAGAGGATTATACAACTCATCATTTGCTCATCAGAGTCTCTCTTTCCCATCCCCCCCTTCACTTCGAGATGGCTCTTACTTTCTTCACCCTCACACCGCTGTGCCATCAGTATTTCCAACAAAAGAGAAGGGTTCGGCAACGCAGACGCACCCCAAGGCGAGGGCAGAAGACCCCGCCACCACACAACACTCCCCGCATCCCCGTGAGCTGCCGTTAGACCCAACCACGTTTTAATGAGCTTAACTTTGAGCACACATCCAACAGGAGAGCACCACAGATCTACTATTACTCTATACCTGGAATGTCTCTGTTACCTTAAGTACTCAATTTTAAGTATCCTCCTGTATGCATTGGCTCAAAGCCACCCTAAATGGCTTTGACACGATACCAACACCCAACGCGATGGGAGAGGCTGTAGATCACACACGCACGGTTAAAATAAAAGCAGATTTTGTGCAAGTTGCAGAGTTTGATGTAATAAGTGCATACATTTCCTCCTCCATGACCGCACAATTGCTTCCCACATAACCAACATAGTTAAACACTGGTTGATGGTGGAGTTGGGGAACTAGTAGGTTACATTATTCATGCGTCTATATGATCCACTCTACTACTGCTCTTAATAGGTTGGAAAGTTGAACCAATAATTAACATATGTCCGGAGGACATAGTTGCTATGAAGTTTTTGATCTATAAGAGAACTGAGCAAGCCAATGGGGCTTAAGCTCACAGTATCTTGTTTTCTGAGGAAAAATACCCAAACCCAGCCAACAGCCCCCAAATGCCAGTGTCTGGAGGTGCGGGGGAGCACCCGTGCCCCCAGCCCCAGGGGAAGCCCAGCCTCCCTGCTAGCTCCCCAGCACGCCGCCCCAAGAGCCTGCCGGAAAGCACTCGCAAAGTCCTTAAAGTTAAAACAGAGCCCGATTGCCAGGGGTTCCCTTACCTGTATCCGTTCTCGATCGCTTCCGTAGCTCTGACATTCGCCGTAACCCTCAACGTCTTGCTGGATAGTCCAACTACCGAAGGCAAGATTCTGTTTTTAAAGTCTGCACAGCTCCATTCCTCTTCTTCATTCAAGGTCGGGAGATAGCCACAGACAACTTTTAAGCTCCCCAGTCCATTGCTGTTCATGTAAGCAGGATTCTCTCCTCCACTCCTTACATATTCGAGGTATATATCAGAAGTTAAAAACATCTGGTAAGCATTTTCCTCCATCACAGTCTGAATCTCAGTCTGTGCCTGATCAAACATGATAGAATCTATCTGCTGCTTCTTGATGCTATCCTTTATGTAGGTCTTGGTAGCAGGCTTGAGCTGCTTGGAGACGATGCTGTTGTTCTCGATGTACCTTTTGTATATAGCTTTGGCTACTCTTAAAGTTTTGGTATCCTTAAGGTCCATCTGCCTGAAGCCGTTGCAGGCAAACCAGAAGTCTAAGGTATCCACACATTTTTCCCTTTCCAAGAAGGTCCGAAAAAGATAGGCACCATCTTGATCTCCCAACAAGGAATGCAAGGATTTGGTCCATCTGGCCAGAGGGGAGTCTGGAGATGCGCTGCCTTCCGGCTCCCCGAGTCCGTTCTCATTCCTCCGCGGGGCAGGAGGCACCGGCATGGCCTTGAAGCTTTGGCTTTTGGGGAGAAACGAGCTGGCGAGTTGCGGACATGGTGCTTCTCCTTCCTCCCCCGGGACAGGGGGTCGGGGGGCGTCTTCCCTGAAGCTGCTGCTGGGGTCTGGGAGGTGGGCGAGGACCACGGCACTGCTCATGGCTCCGGAGCCCGATGGGGAGAGGGGCTCCCAGTTCCTCCAGGAGCTGCCTGCGCCTCTGCCTTCCTCTGCCTGGAGTCAGCAGGGGAT